AGCAGTGGCAGCCTTGCACGTATGAGGATTATTCTGTGAAATAAATATGTATGCTTGCATTAGAATAGTCATCCAGTGTATTAGAGCTGACTGTGTATTACACTATCTTGGCTTTAGATGGGCTTTGTTACCCTGAAGTGTAAGGAAGCAAAAACTATGACCCCTACTCTCCCACATGCTGTAAAGAAATAAAACAAGCTGTCAGGTTTCTGCCAGAATCTAGAAGAGATTTGTGTGGTATTGGAAAGAAATTGTGGAGGATCAAATAGAAATACAGAGTAATACTTAATCTTCTTTTACCAGTAGCACCCAGGCTTTATGAAAAATCCTTCCTCTTGATGTGTTTTCTTATTAAAAAGGTCTAATTTAGGGAATGTGGATGGAGACTTCAAGTCTTGATCCAGTTTCACAGTGATGTTTAATAAAGATTGATTACTGCAGCCTCACAAAATTAGTAGCAAAAGGAAATCTCATTGGTAAATAACCTGCTGTAGGTTTTGTTTGGAGAGGCATACAAAAATGTGATGATACGTTTTGACTTGTGTCTTTCACAGTGATTATGAAAAAGTTTTCTATGTGAATGTAGTATTTTGGTGGGCGATGTTTGTCATTTAAAATTATTCCACCACTAGCTAGTATTCTACAGAAATTAAATTTGATGTTTTCCTTAGAAGTTACTGACCAATATACTTTTGCTGATGAGACAAAATTCAGTTGTAAATACAGTTTAATGTAGATTTCCTGTGAAAAATTTTTCTCCTTTGTAAAAAGACTTCCTTCTTGCAGTTTTGTTACTCATGTGTTTCAGACATAAGCACATGCTTGAGGGATTTTGGCTGGTCAGCATCCTAGATGTTTACTCTTCATTTTGAAAAGATTAAGCCCGAATGGAAAACTCTTGTGCATAGCATTATGTTCCGTTTCCTGTCTCTTGAGACAGGCAATCTTGCAAAAGATCTTTTTCAAGTTTTCTATTTTTGTTGGTGCACCATGAAACTATTTCTCATAGGAAGTGTGTTGAACCCTGTATGTTAGTTGAAGTCATTTCTCTATCAAAGAAAGGAGCTGCTGACTGCAGCTGGAAATTCTGTGAAGCTGCCAGTACTTCATGATTTCAGTGCGGAGCTGTTAATTGGTCCAGCCTGAGATTTAGTGAAACACCTCTGAACTTCATCTTCTGGTTTGTAACAAAATCCAAAGATGTAAAAATTTTTTTTATTTCAAGGCTGCATTATAAACATTTTTTGTAAATTTTCATTGGAACTAACTGACTTTCCACTTATGTGTTCTCATACTTGCTTTATCTGATAGGAATTCTTTATCCATTGCCCTTTTTATAACCTGTCTCTTCAGAGTAGGATCTCTGATATTTAGACTTCCTATCCATGTTTAATCTGCTCATAATGTATTAAATATTCTCAGTTGCTGGAAAAAAAAAAATAGTACTGGGAAAATGAGATTTTTGTCTCACTGCCAGGCAGCATGAACTTTGCTGAAGATGGATTAGCATTCTGTTACCTGAGAAGCACCAATTGTCCTTAGCTTCATGGAGAGTATGAGCATGGCACAGGACAGACAATTGTTCTATGCCTTCTAGGAGTTGCATTTGCCCTGTAAATAATCCTCTGGTAAGTAGGCTCATTGCAGGAGCACTGTCACACAGGAGCAATTGGCTTTTTTAGTAGTCTGCTTTCTTCTCATGAGAACACCTCAGGAACTTGTTAGGCTTGGATATGTTTTCTAAGATAGCAGCTGAAGACAGTCATGATGTATGCAGCATTTTCAGGAAATGTTCTCGGTATCTTCTAAAGAAGCCTTTTCCTCTCCAGGTAATATGCTTGGGCTGTCTGCAAGCCAGTGAGTTGGGGAGCTAGTGACCAGGCTCAGAATAGTGGAGGTCTTCATCCTAGGAGTTGGGCATAATGCTTTGTTTCATTTTTCTGCCAGCCCTTCAGTTTGCTGTTCATCTGGTTGTATTGTCTTTCTATAGCTGGTATAGTGATAAGGAGCGAGCATGACGATGGAACACACAACTAACACGGGCAAACTGGCATTATGCAAGAGCATAATGACCCTGTGTTTGAAGTGGGATGAGCAGAAGGAAGCAGATTTGACATTGCAGTAGATGCAGATTTGGCAAGTTTGTTAGTAAATACATTGTTACTGCTTAGACTTCCCTGAGCTGGCAGCAATTGGTGGTGTCCTCAGCTGCCATTTCCTACTGTTACTCATCCTTTCATAATACTTTTCTGAAAACATATTGTGAAACTCCTGTTGTTGCTCCTTATGTCATGGTCTGAGCATCTCTCATGCCTACTTTATTTTCCAGCCATATCATAGAGGAGTATTTAGCCTCGCAGGTTGTGAGAAGCTGTTGTGTTTAAAAACTGAAAAGCAAAATGTCATAGAAGGCTGCTTAGGCTCTCTTCAGAGGAGCCTCTATAACCAGTGGCTTCCAGTAAAATTCACCACAGAGAAAACAATTTTCATTTCTGTTCATTATTTATTAAGACAAGGGACGTTCAGACACACTCATAACTTTCTCAGAAATCAATACAAAATACAGAGACAGGAAATAATGCTCGTTCTTGGTCATCTATCGAAATGTTCCTTTGAGTTTCATTTTGGTTAATTTAAACAAGAGGTGGAAACAGTTGAATACTGCTATGATAATACATCTATAGTTGATAACTGTAATGGCGATATAACGCATATCAAGGGGGTTTGGAAAAGTATCTATAAGGAGGCTGACTTCTTAATAATGCTTGTTTAAGTTACTAGAGCTTGAAGATTGCAAACTTGTAGATTAATGTTTCTCTGGTTTAGCTTTTCCTTAAGCCAACTAAGGCAAGAGGTGTTGTACTATTTTCAGTAATTACACATTACATTTAATTTTTTATATAGACCTACCTAGTAAAGTATTTTGGAGTGTTTTTAGAAATATTATGTCAATGTTATATATGCATATATACACGCATTTAATTATGGTGTTATTGTGTATATATTTATATATATGTTCCTGTGTATATACACTAGAATTGAGCATTTTTGTACATATAAAATATATATTCAGAAATCAAGCTCTTAGCAACAAAAGCAAAGAATGGGCATGCTTTCTCACTAAAAGAGAAGCAGTTCTGAAATTAAGTGAAAACTGAGCTAGTAGTTATTTCACAAAGCATAGACTTATCCTAAGGCCTTATCTCTGTCTATAATAAAAGTCATACTAACTTCATCCTGAATAAGAAAGAAATCCTTTAAAAAAAAACAAATAGGTAACTTTATCATCTGTTTCCAGATAAAATGTCTAACTGCTTAGTGCTGCAACAGTGACATCTAGTGACTAAGCCAGGAAGTTTTAGACTTAATCTACATTTTTATCAATGCTGAAGGACATAGATGGAAAGGGAGGGTTATTTCCTAAGATTCTTAGTGAAATACTGAACAGATGATAAGTAGGGGATGCATGAGAATGGAAAACACAGTGAATAGGTGATTAATTAAAATTATGTAGATGTTGAATTAGCCATTGTGTCTTTGAGAATTTGACATGGTACGAGCCAAGTGAGGAATAAATTATTTTTAAACAATTGATTTCTCCATTGAGACATTGTTTACTGAGAGCATGTAGCATTTCATATAAGTTTTGGTAACCTAACAGTAACAAGAGTTCAACTGGCAGTATCTTTTACATATTTTGTTTCAGGTAAGATCTACCACAGGGATAAATTCTGCTGTACGATGAAAAAGTTTCCGTTTTTATCAGATTTATGAAATAAATAATTCAGAAATGTTTCATGTGTAAGGAAGGTGGCAAATTTCATACCACTCTTTCGTACCTGATTCTGTTTTAATTAAAGTCAATGTGAATTTTGTAATGGAATTTAAATCTCACATAGCTTCTGGCTCTAAAGAATAAGTGGTATTTAGTACTGACCTGACCCCCTACTTCCTCAGTTATTCACATTTGTTGTTGGAACTGATTCTTGAAATATTGCTGTTGTTCAAAATGATATGTGATATATTCTGTACTTTGTTGTTGTTGTAATTGTACTAAGGAAGTAACTTGTGTCTGTGCTTTTCAAAAAGACAGTAATACAAACAAATTATTTAGAATTTCAGCTTTAAAGCATTCCAAGTTTCCAAGTTTCCCGCTGTTTTACCATTTGGAAATTGGTGAATGAAGAAGTAATTGTAAAATTATGTAAGATCATAAATGGAGGAATAAACTGAAAAACTGATTAAGAACCGATAGCACAGCTTCAAGAAGTCCATGCAGTGGAAGTTATGCTGTGCTTACTTGCTCAAGACTCAGTATTCCTTCCAGGCCTCTGCTTCAGATTACTGAGAAGTATGGTACATCCTCAGACTCAGAAATGTAGGCTGTTTCTCAGTCACTGAAATAATTGGAAAACTTGAAAAGTGAAAAACTTGAAAAATATATTTAAAAGAGATTTTTAGAGTACTGCAAAAGTAAAGTTACTGTGATGTACTGTATTCTGTGGAAAGTTGTAAAAGAATTAAGCAATAGAAAAATGAATTGGCATCACTAGGGGGCAATAAAACATCAGAAATATCTATATTGTTGAAGAAGAATGCAAATAATGTTATGCCCTCACTGACAGAGTCACTTGTGTTATGACCTGAAGAACAGCTTGCATAGGCAAACACTTCTGTGTTTCTCCTGCTGTGTTTTATTGCCAGTCTTTCCTCATGGATTATAGATTTCCCCAAAATAATGTATTGTATATGCATATTATTGTATATAGTGTATATTGTATATGCATAAGGAAAAGTTTGCGTAATGCAAATGCTTTGCCTGCATTTTGTCACAGTAAAATAGAAATATTTGACATTTGCTACAATTTTTGTTTCTGAACACCACCGCGTTCAAGTATAACATTTTGCTAAGACTTACCAATTTTGCACAAATAAAGTAAAGCTGTATAGTATTGGAAAATTTAAATCTGAAATTCAGTGTCTCTCTCTGTCCACTTCAGCCTCTGTAATCTTCAACTCAGACTGATGACAGAAATTCCAGATGACTGCTGCTTCAGTACTCTTAAGCTATGAGGTTAGTTATCAACTATTTCCATCTTCCTGATGTTCTGCTGGTACTGTGTATCTGTTTACTGATAGAAAGGTAAGAAGGCCATTAAAAAAAAATAGAGCTGTAAGACAAATTTTGGGGCACAATTACAGTATAAACTACATTTGTGTCAGATTTCTTAATAGAAATTTTTGGAGACGCGAGCGATCTTGAAAGCATTTACAAAATCATAGAATTGAAGGGATTGGAAGGGACCTCTAGAGATCATCGAGACCAACCCCCCTGCCAAAGCAGGCTCCCTAAACCAGGTCACACAGGTAGGCGTCCAGGCGAGACTTGAGTATCTCCAGGGAAGGAGACTCCACAACCCCCCTGGGCAGCCTGTTCCAGTGCTCTGTCATCTCACTGTAAAGAAATTCTTACGCACATTTGTGCGGAACTTCCTATGCTGCAGCTTATGTCCGTCTCCCCCTGTCCTGTACCACTGAAAAGAGACTGGCCTCACCACTATGGCCCCCACACCTCAGATATTTATAAACCTTGATAAGGTCATCTCTCAGTCATCTTTTCTCAGGGCTAAACAGACCCAGTTCACTCAGCCTTTCTTAATAAGAGAGATGCTCCAGGCCCCTCACTATCTTCGTGGCCCTCCGCTGGACTCTTTCCAAGAGGTCCCTGTCTTTTTTGTACTGGGGAGCCCAGAACTGGATGCAGTACTCCAGATGAGGCCTCACCAGGGCAGAGTAGAGGGGGAGGATCACCTCCCTCGACCTGCTGGCCACGGTCTTTTCAATGCACCCCAGGATGCCATTGGCCTTTTTGGCCATGAGGGCACACTGCTGGCTCATGGCCAACCTGTTGTCCACCAGGATGCCCAGGTCCCTCTCTGCAGAGCTCCTCTGCAGCGGCTCATCCCCCAGCCTGTATTGGTGCATGCAATTATTCCTCCCTAGGTGTAAGACTCTACAATTGCTTTTGTTGAACCTCATCCAGTTTCTTACTGCCCGGCTCTCCAGCCTGTCCAGGTCTCACTGAACGGCAGCACAGCCTTCAGGCGTGTCAGCCAATCCTCCCAACTTCGTATCATCAGCAAACTTGCTGAGGGTGGCCACTATCCCCTCATCAAGGTCACTGATGAAGATGTTGAACAAGACCGGACCCAGCACAGACCCATGGGGGACACCACTGGTTACAGGTCTCCAGCCAGACTGCACCACCACCAACGACCCTTTGCGCTCTGCCAGTCAGCCAGTTCTCAACCCACTTCACTGTCCACTTGTCTATCCAACACTTCCTCAGCTTTGTTATAAGGATGTCATGGGAGACAGTATCAAATGCTCCTTGCTCATCCACACAGGTCTCCTGCCTCCTTTTCCCAATTTCTTGCTCACAGGTACACACCGATCCTGAGCTTGGAAGAAGAGCTGTTTAAATGCTGACCAGCTCTCAGAGGCCCCCTTGCCTTCTAACACCCAAGCCCATGGGAGATAGCTCCAAGAAGGTCCTGGAAGAGATTGAAGTTGGCTTTCCTAAAGTCCAGGGTAGCAATCCTACTTTCTGCTTTGCTTCTTCCACTCAGAATCTTGAACTCCACCATCTCGTGGTCACTACAACCCAAGCTGCCCCCAACCTTTACTTCCTTAACAAATCCTTCTTACTGGTGAGAATAAGGTCCAGTAGCACCCTTCCGCGTGTCGCTTCCTCCACCACCTGCATCAGAAAGTTGTCTTCAACATACTGCAAGAACCATCTGGACCGTGCGTTCCTGGCCGTGTTGGTTCATCCAGCAAATATCTGGATAGTTGAAGTCCCCCGTAAGCACCAGCGCCTGGGAATGTGATGCTACATCCAGTTGCTTATGGAAGGCCTCATCAACCTCTTCCTCCTGATCTGGGGGTCTGTAGTACACACCCACAACAGTGTCACCCTTACCACCCTGCCCCTTGATTCTCACCCAAAAGCTCTCCACTGCTACATCACTCTCCCCCAAGTGGAGTTCAATACATTCTAGCTACTCTCTCACATAAAGAGCAACTCCACCACCCTGCCTCACTGGCCGATCTTTCCTAAAAAGCACATAGTCCTCCATCACAACACTGCAGTCATGCAAGCTGTCCCACCACGTCTCCATGATCGCAATGACATCGTGACCTCACGACCGCATGCAGAACTCCAGATCTTCCTGTTTATTTCCAATGCTATGCGCGTTAGTATACATGCACTTAAGAGAAGCAGCATCTCCCCACCCCTCTCCAAGCCTTTGAACTCCTTCGTCTCCACCCATCAAGTTCTGTTTTGACCCTCGAACTGCCCCCTCAGTCCCCTTCCCCCTTCATACCTAGTTTAAACACCTGTCAGTAAGTCCCACCAGTTTCTCGGCTAGAACCCTCTTTCCACATGGAGACAGGCTGCTTCTATTTGAAGCCGTCATGCCAGGTGCTGAGTAAATTGCCCCTTGATCAAAAAAACCAAAACTTCTGTGTTTGTACCAACTCCTCAGCCATTTGTTCAAGAGATGGGTTTTTAGGATCATCCTGGTATCTTTCCCTGCTACCAAAGGTACAAATGTAATATCCACCTGCACACCTGTTCCTTCAACTACCCACCCCAGCCCCCTGAAGTCATTTTTGATAGCCTTCAGGCTTTTCTCATTAACTTCTTCACTGCCAGCCTGTACTATCAATGGTAGATAGTAGTCAGAAGGGCAGATCAGTCTGGGAAGTCTCTTAGCAGTGTCCCTGACACTGGGGGGATGTGTCATTTTGGGGAACATAGGTGATGTTATTTCTACTATAAATTTACAGGCAGATTTTTTTAAAAAAAATCACTGTATCATTTTAGTACTTCTGGTTTGGTCCATTTGACTTGTGACTCCTAAGAGATGCACTACCAGATATCAGTTCCTAATGCATGGGCCCCCAAAATATTTTTCAAAAGTTTAATGTTACATACTTGACACACTGCTTCCATTCAGCTAGCTCCTCCTGAAAGCTCTCCCCTTTATCTGAGCTAGGAGCTGATAATTAGTAACTGTATAGCGGAACCCGACCCCCAGTATTTAAGCTGCACCTTTACATTTTGAGTGCCTCTAGTCCCTTTCGGGGAAGGTAATCCATTTAATTATTGATCCAGTTAATAGATGGTCAACTCAGCTGGCTATTGACTTTGCCCTGAGATGTGTTGCAGACATGCTTACAATCCAGAAACAATAGACAGAGTATCCAAAATGCTACCAGAAGCACTTCTGTTTCTTTCAGAACAAATAAGGCTGTTAATTGGATTTGAGAAATTTCCTATCTGTTTCAGGATGTTGATGAGCATACAAATAAAAATCCTCCATGAAAGATTTGATTCGCTTGTTTGCCTGGAAATAATTGCAGTTGGTTACAGCTGCTGATTGTATAAGTTACTGTTCTTCATCTGTTCTTTCTGTTGCTATTTAATTCATTACTTGGGAAATTCCCTTTGTGTTGTGTCCAGGAACAGGATTCTAGCCTACTGTCTTTATATGGGCAAGTTAAATGTCTCTGTCTTACAGGAGTACTGTGGCTGAGAAAAGGGTAGGATACCATAATTATGTTTAGCTTTAGTTTCAGTACATGCCAGCATACTACACAGGAGAACTGTGCATGTTTTACTAAAGGCAGTATAGCCTTTAGCATGGTCAGGCTCCAGATACTGCAATGTAGCCTAGACCTAGTGTGCATAGTATGGCTTTATTTAAAAACAGATGAACATTAAAAAAACAAACAAACATAAACAACAAAAAAAAAAGACACTGGAGTTAAAAACTACAGCATCTTTGTCTTAAATATGCAGTGAACATGGCATTCTCCTGAATCAAAGTCTTCTAGGAACAAATAATAGAAAATTCTATAGTCTGTACGTTCTTTAAAAGTGTATTTCGAGTTAGCTAGTGCTTTTTAGAGAGCAGTCTGCTCAGGCAGATCTGAAAACTTGAAACAGGAAACTTCCCGGCTGCTGCTGCAGATCTCTGACTTCTACCCAGAGTAAACCTCTGTGCTCTGCAAAAGCAGCCACGACTAGCTGATGAATCAACAGGCAGGGGGCTGCTCTAGAAAGATCAGGTTGCAATTTTGCCCTTGTAGTTTTACACCACACCCCCACGTATTATCTTAAGCATGAATTAGTAGGGGAGGATCACATTCAGCACTGATTCAAGAATTCTTTCTGAGTTCAAGAACTGTTCCTAGGAGTTTGGTGAGTACTTTGTGACATACTTTGTTTTATACATCTCTTTTTTAGCTAGTAGAAAAGTGTCTGCTGTTAGGTTTTCTTTAGAGTGTGGTAGATGCAGTACTCAAATATATTTAGATTCCAGAAATATGTGCAGATTAAAAAGGGAGGCTTCTGTATGGCGATCTGAAACAGGACAGCAATTAATGTAGCTTTACAGATATTAATGCAACTCATCTTCGGTTGTCAGAATGCCAGATTAAGGTATTTTTTAACTCCAAATAAGTTGAAGATATTTCAAAGAAAGCCATTAGTTGCAGTTTGAAGGGGAAAAAAAAAAGAAAAAAAAAAACTCTAATTAAAACAATTCCTCTTGTACGACAACTTCAAGGAAGGCTTGACTCAGACATTATTGTGCCAGGCTATTTCAAATCTTTCTAAAGTTTGTAATGTTTGAAGCAGTTAATACTATGAGAACATTTAAGGAGAGGCAAATTAATCTGATGTTAGTACAAATCAATTTCACTCACAATGTGTTACAGAAATTCTCAAGGAAGTAAAACACTCAGACAATGAATAGGATAGTGAGTGAGGCTTGCAGACTTTAGTGATCCGACCATCACTGGGGACTGCTTCAATATCTTATTTAAGATAATCTGCATAAAATTCATTTTCAGTGACTGTTTAATGAAAAACAATGATACTAGTCTGTATTAAAAAAAAAAAAATACTCAACTAAATTAAGCTTTAAATAATGGTTCTAGAAAATATAAATATAACTTAAAAGAGGAAAAGGCATGTAACAATGAGAAAAGTAGAGAGGACAA